TCCTAGGCTGCATTACTCTGATGATCCCGTGTATCATCCTTGTTTAATATTAGGTGAAAAACAAGGGTAAAACGATACATGAAGACAGAGTTGTATAACGTTTCTGAATACAGCCCTAATGGTATCGATGCTACTAGTAAAAATTCCGAAGAAAAAAGTAACTTAAAAGTAACTTAAAAGTAACTTAAAGTTACTTTTTCAGTAACTGTAACTGTAACGAATTACTTTTCAGAGTCAATAACTTGTAACGGTAATTAATTACTTTTTGAAACAGAAAAACTGTAACTGTAATTAATTACTTTTACAAAGTAACTTTGCCATCCCTGCATTTAACGACGGTATTAGCAGCCTAATGAAAGTTATAAAAGCTTTAGACATGACTATTGGAAGAAATTGTTACAATTTCTGCGTCGAGACAGACCAACATCGTGTTTATTTATTGGACCGATCTTTGACTGAGGCTGCAAAACAAGCTCGAATTGCTTCAAAATCGACCAGAAAAGAAGAAGAGGAGCTCAATATAAATTTGGAAGGTCAACTTTATGGCGCAGGCATCGCAGATTGAAGGTATATTTTAATTATTGATCTTAAAATGTTTAACTCGATTTTTCTCGAAACAACGTTTTTCAAAACGGGCGAACTCCTAGCGCCTACAAATCTTTATCGATTGCTTTGAATTTTTTACGGTATCTTCTCACATATACAGGGTGGACCATCTGAAGTGATCCAGTCAAATATCTCGAAAACTAGTAGGGATAGAGAAAAATGTTTCGTATGAAAAGTTTAGGGTTACACGGGGGAAGTATGGTACTGACCTTGAAAAATCCTTGGAAGGTCATTTTGAAGGTCATTCAGGGGTCACGATGGTTTTTTTAAATGGAACCCCTAGTTTTTCACCATGGGATGAGAAAGCTGGTTTCAAGCCCTTTACGAAACACTGGTTGTGGTCCACAATCCGCCCACTGGGGTCCGAGTTATGGACCATCAAAGTCATTGATGAACTACTCTTAGCGCTACCCAGGAACAACGACGTGGACGTGGTAG